TAGGGTATGGGAGTCTACATTCGGTCGTGATAAACCCTAAACCCTAAACACACACACACACTCTCTCTCTCTCTCTCTCTCTCTCTCTCTCGCTCTCTCTCTATATATACGTATATGCAAGTAAAATCACACATGCACACTTACATTGTACGCGATTTTGCTTGAGTTCTCGTGTCTTGAGAAGCCCAAATGCTCATCTTGGTCTCTGCCAGTGTGCAGGATCTGAGATGGCGACCCAACCGGTCATTGCCGGAGGAACCGCCACAGGCCGGCAGACATGGGAGCTGGAAATTGGTGAGTCTGGTCATGTGCACAAGAACCTGCATACGTCTGCCTGATGACTGCAACAGTCTGTGGCATGGTTGCTAGGCTGCTTGGGGGAAGGTAGCTTGCCCTTGGCGGGCCTGCAGGACAAACTGGAGCGTGCCCGGCGTGCAGTCGGCGAGCAGTGCACGGCTCACGGCCTCACCATGCGTCATGCATAGCATCGCTTGGAAAGCCTTTCTGCCTGATAATTTACTTTATACACCATTCACCGCCGAGAGAGTTCATGCGTTGCTGCAATCTGAACCTTCCTGCCCCTCCAAGACCTGCGTGCCATCACAGCAGCGCGTGCAGCTCACTGGACTCACTGAATCTCCATGAGGCATGAATTCGCGCGTGCCCGGCTACACCGGTTTCATCCCATCCGCCAAAGCAGAGGACAACGTCGCTGCGCTCCACTCTGTTTCGTTGATCCTGTCTTTCGAGGGGTCGAAGGGGTTTTTGGGATGTTAGTTGTGGCCTGCTCCTTCTACCCAGGGCTCGATGGAAGCAGTAGTCACGGGTCGTTCAGTAGAGCCTGACCACCCTAAACCCTAACCCCCTAAACCCTAAACCCTAAACCCTAAACCCTCAACCCTAACCCCCTAAACCCTAAACCCTAAACCCTCAACCCTAACCCCCTAAACCCTAAACCCTGACCACCCTTGTGAGGACATTTACGGTCGGACGCAGGCCGCCGTCGGCGCGGGTGCGCGGGAGGAGCAGCAGGGGTCTCGGGACGCTTCGCAGCCTTACCTTTGGCCTCTTGCGCCCAAAAAAAGAGGGTTTAGGGTTTAGGGTTTTAGGGTTTAGGGTTTATGGCGCTGCGAAGTCGCCCAGGTGGCAGCTGGAGGAGAAGAAGGCGGCCCTGCAGCAAGCGTTGGCAGCCTCGTGGTGACCTTAGAGCCGAATGGGAAAACGTCCGAAGGCTGAAAGCCAAATTGTCAGATGAACAGAGATCTGCCTGGATTTGAGCTACTGCTCTCCTGTGGGATTCCACTGTGCCGCTGCAAAGGCAGAAGCGGGCAAAGCCCTTCCCCGAGGATCGGTTCTCCGAACCGGCTGGATGCTTACTGGATGAGTCACTCTGTAAAAGCTCGGAAGGAGATGTTTCCGGAGCTGCAGGCACCAGACCCACATCCTCTTGGCAAGGCCCGAGCCGATGTGGTGCGCTCCTATTGGGTCACCCTCTCAGAGGGCTCGCAGCTTCTCATATGCCCTTCCTCTGCGAGCCGGACAGACAGGTTCCAACTATCCCGGGCTACAGCGGTTTCATGCGCATGGCTCAGTGCTTCACAGTGGAGCTCTAGCCTTCGAACTCTGCAGCCTAGGCCCAGCAAGCATGCAGAAAACATTCACGGTGGTGGCATCATCCACACGTGCAAGATGGCAGGGCTCTTACAAGCTAAAAGAAGAAGAGATGAGTGTGCCCGAATGCTCCCTCCTGCGTTGGAAAGGGTTCTGTTTGAGAGGCTGGCAGGGCCATTGCAGAGCGCGCCCCGCAGCCGGAGCACCTACCGGCCGCGTGGCAAGCTGTGCTTTAAAGACCAGCTGCGGGCATGGTTTCCCGAAGGGGTTCCTTCAAGACCGTCGGTCGACAGCTTCCCTTGAGGCTCTGCAAGCGACCCCAGAAGGTTAGTTTGAATCTAAAACGTGTGTTTCTTTTCAAGAACGGCTTTACTTCCAGTCCGAGCTGTCACAATATCATTGAAGCCCGGAGTTGTGCCCAGCCCAGGCCGTGACGCAGGACGACGATCTCCCCCGTGCCCGCATTGTAGATCACTTCTATGCAGAGCAGCATGCAGACGACAGGCAGGGAGCTTAGCAGCGTGTGAACTTGGGTCGGTTTTTTCCGCGTCGTCGATGCTGGGAGGCCTGAACACAAGGCTCGACATGCTGCCCGCGTGCGTGAGCACTGCAGCAGCTTTGATGCAAGCATTTCTGTGAAAGACATGAGGGCAGGATTTTCCCCATTGAACCTTGTGATCCAGAGGCAAGCAGATCCCTGGCTACATGGGCACTGCGCTCAGTGGCCCTGTCCTGCAGCCATTTGCATTTTGGACCATCTTTGGTAGATGGAATTCCAAAGCTTGCGCCCCAAAACACACAAGTCCTCTGTGAAGGCTCCGTTGAAGTGTGTACCTCATCACAGCTTCTGCCGCACATCATGACATGGCACTGCGAGAGCGAGACATCAACTTCCCTAACCCGCCCAGAACGAACGCCAGATCATCCAATTCTCGGGCTGTAATCACAGAAGAGCAAGATCACGCATCTGTGCTGACGGAGGGGAACATGCAAAGTCTTGGTGCTTAGTGGCCTTGGACACCGCTCGACACGCCCAGGGAGTAACAGAAGAGCAGAACACGAGAATGCTACTGATATCTTAGAGTCGTCTTGTCGCAGATTCCGAGACCCTTGACTAAACCCTAGGGGCGATCTTAAAAAGCCGTACAGATAAGACGTAAATCCCAAGCCCGAAGACAAACTGAGGCCATGTGCCCCGGATTCAGGGGGACGCAGTGTACGGTGCAACGGCGAAAGCCGCCAACTTGACCCTTGTCTCCTGCGAAGTCTTGCTGAGTTCAGGTTTCAGGTTTTTTTTTTGGGGTTTAGGGTATCGGAGTTTCAGGGTTTGACTGTTTCCCGATTCTTAAATCATGGTCCGGGGGGCTTCGGGATTTCGGGGTTTGAAGGTCCAGGGGGGCGATGGGAGACAGCCGATGTGCCCGTGGCCTAAGGATTGCGGCTGACCTCGTCGAGGACATAAAGATAGTGCCGTGCAGTTTGTATGCTTGAGAGCCGGTGTGGTGGTCGAGGATAGCTGTGTGAACGAGTCGCAGCTTTGCAAACAGAGCCGTCCAATAGGATCGGATCTACAATCCAGCCAACCACATCAACATGCCGTGCTCCCAGCATTCCTGGGGATCCCTTCTTGCTGTGAGCATCAGCGAGACAGCTCCGCATGCTGCCCAAGGGTCTGCGCTCCGCAAGCGCCTCCGGCGCGTCTATGCCCCAGAGTCATGAGACACACACGCACACACACGCAAATACGTATATCTATCTAGTAACTCTATCTATATATATATATGTATGCATACACACATCTGTCTGCCTGTCTGCCTGCCTGTCTGCCTGGCTG